ATAGAAGATTTCAGTTTCAGTTGGGACAACTTTTTTTCTTCATAGTTCGAGTTTCAGTAACTTCTCTTTCCTGTGATTCTGATCCTCGATATTTCTTATTAATATTTGAATAAAATATCTTACACGAAATTTAATTGAATAAGTTGAATTTTTCGTATCACCATCTAATGCAATAACATATTCACAACCTTTGCCTAATTTTTCAAGAGCAGTACCATGTGCAAGACGTGTAGCTACCTTTAAATAATTGAGGAAAAACAAAAACAAATAAATTTTTCCAAAAAATACAATCTTTTGTTTTTTTTTTTATTCAAACCTCTTTTTTGCCATCATAATTTGGTGGTGATGATAATTTAATTTCTTTATCCTTTTTAATTTCTGCAACTTTAGCAGTAATTTTTGAAATTTGTGGTCGAACTAATGTTTTTTCATTAACTAATTCTCTTAAATGAGCAATTATTTCATTTGCTTTATCACCCAATGGTTTTCCATGCCAATCTAATTCATTTTCTATACCTTTTAAACCACTACCTTTAAATGTTTTGGCTAGAATACATGTTGGTTTATCTTTTGTTTCTGATGCTTCTTTAAAAGCAGCAAGTAATTGAGTAACATCTTGTCCATTAACAACAATTGGATGCCATCTAAATTAGATTGTTTTTTTTTTAAATCAAAAACAAAAAAGAACAATTTCGTTTTTTTCTTTTTACCCAAATGCATCAACACGTTTACGATATGTTTCCATATCATGTTGTAATGGTGCTGGATCACTTTGTCCAAGTCGATTAACATCAATGATAGCACAAAGATTATCAAGTTTATAAAATGAACCAAATGCAAATGATTCCCAAACACTACCTTCTGAGCATTCACCTAGAAAAAAAAATCAAAATATTTTATCTTTTAATCAACAAAAAAAAAAAACAACAACAAACTAACCATCACCAAGTACACAATAAACTCGATAATCAGATTGATCGAAATATTTTCCAGCATATGCCATACCACATGCAAAACCTAAACCTTGACCTAATGAACCGGTAGCAACGTCAACAAAATTTAATCGCTATGTAGAAAAAAACGAAATTATAATTATAATCTTTTTTTTTTTGAAGAAAAAAACATACGGGTGTTGGATGACCTTCAAGATCAGAATTAATTTTTCGTAAATTGGTTAAGTCGGATACTGGAAAAGCACCAGCTTCTGCCCAAGCAGCATAAAGTATCGGAGCGCAATGTCCCTGAATATTATTTTTATTTTAACAAAAAAACCTGGATTTCTTTTTTGTTTTCTTTATTTACTTTAGAAAGAACAAAACGATCAGCAGCTGGATTACGTGGATCCTTTGGATCATAACGCATAACATTAAAAAAAAGTACACTTGTTATTTCAGCCATTGATGAACAACTAGTTGGATGACTATTCAATATAAATAATACAGAAAAAAAAATCAAGATTATTAAAAATAATAGAAAATAAATAAAATTAACCCCGAATTTGCTTCTTGTGTTGATTGAATACTATGAATACGGAGCAAATTAGCAAGACGTTCCAAAGTATTAACTGTATTTGTATCCGACATTTTCGCTTGTATGCAAATGATCTGAAAAGAAATCGATAGATTAATAATTTATGTACGTGTATTGGCGACGTATACAAAATAAAATCTAAAGTACAGAGAATATTAATATCCTTTTTTTTTTCTTCTGCATACCTTGGGTTCTCTATATCTTATTCACGGTTATTATTGGACTTAGTAAAACGGACAAATAAGTAACTGCCACAGAAAAGCAATAAATATCAAGGGGTCTTTCAATATTAATTTTTATTGATATAAAAAAGGTTATATTTTATGATAAGGATCTTATCGAACAACAGACGCTAAGTATTCGATTGGTTTCAATTTAATAAGCAATAATGTAGATGGCGTTAGTTTTCGGTTTATGATAAGATATTGACTTTGGACTTGGAAATTATTCCGTTTTTTTTTTGCAGATGTATTAAAACTAGAGTCTATGAATATTATTGATAACCTAAGTAAAGACTAATGTAATAACATTCATAATTTTGTTGGATAAAAAAAAACATGATAAAAACAATTATTCAGAAAACATGATTTAATGTCAAAATGATACATATGATTAATATTTTTTTGTTATTACACTGTATTGTTATAATCAATAATTAGTTTAATACATGACACAGCAAAGTTTAAAAGCTACTGTATTTTGTTTTCACATACTTTTCGAAAAATTACATGCAATTTCCGATGGATATTCTTTGATCATTTTTATTATTGATTGTTATGATTACAATATATTTTTCTACGTTAAGATTCATTTGAATTTTCCAATCGAAAATTGTTATATATATATATATTTGTATCAAATATTTATAAAATTAAGAATAAATTTATTTCAAAAAAAAATAAACATATTAATACTCTATTTGACAAATCAAGATATCGGTTTCTTTTTTTCTTGAAATTGTCCAAAAGAAAAATTATTCGAAAATTGGTTTTCGACACATAGGACATTGAAGTGATGTTTGTCCTTCACTATCAATCCAACCATGAATACATTCTGTATGAAATATATGTTGACATGGTAAAATTGAACATGTACTTTTTTGATCCATTGATGATAAACATATTGAACATTCACTTTGAAATTCAATATCTTTATTTAAACTACGAGTTTCAATATGTATTGGTAATCGATTTAAATTATATATTTGATACATATCAGTAACATTTGTCCATCTACTAGTATTCATTATTCGCCATTGACAACGATTTAAACCAAATCTTTCAGCACGTACACTATTTTCACATATAGGACATTTAAAAGTATACATACGAGAAATAGTAAATTCACCCATTTCTAAATTACCAATAACCATTTCTTTATGTACACTACATCGACCATTTGTAGTCAAACATCGACCTTCAAGCCATAAACCAGGATCTATAATACGCCATGGAGTAGCTAGTGTATGTAAAGATCGGATTTCCGCTTGTTGTTTATTAGTCATTTTTATTGAATGTTTTTTTTCTCTATCGGTATGTATATAAAATTGGTAAGCGTAACGAAAACAAAATGTGACAATCAATATATATACGTGAATAATAATGTGATTATAGATGTTCGCAAATAGATGGAGAAGGAGACTATATCTTAACGATAACTACTTTTTTGATATAAATTGAGTTTTTGAAAACCTTTTTTTTTTAGAAAAAAAAATATTACACTAAACCTTAGTATTGCTTCGTTTTTATTTTTTGAATTGTAGATTGACTGAAATAGTTAAATAACTATTTTGAATTGATGATATGATGATAAAATTTATCAATGGTTGTTTGACTCGGATTAAAAACTATAATAAAAAAGGTGGAAAAAACAACCAAGTAATATAGTTCAATGAACCCCACAATTAAAAATATCAACAATAAAAAAAAGAACTCAATAGTTCTATCTTAAGTGTCGTTTCAAGAAAAGAAAATTAAATACACTAATGATCAAATCAGAACATAGAATCATTCTTCGAAAATAAATCATATATACTTCAATTGTCACAAAACATCGGTTTTTTTTTGTATAATTTATTTGATATTTGATGTAATTTCCTCTTTGTCAATAGACAAATATTGATTATTTAATCGTCATTATTCATCGCCAGATGTTTTATATGATTTTAAATAACAGAAACAAATTATCTATCAATAGCGAACTTTCGAAAGATAATGTTTACCGATTTTAATGGCATTTTCATTACAGAAAAAGACTTGATTCATTTTTTTTTGTATATTGATCTAAAACAATGCATTTTTTTCTATTTCTTATTATTTCATTAATCTATGATAATATCAATAGTGAATCTAATAAAATCAATTCTGAATCTCATTCTCTTCTAACAAATGAACTTAATTTAACATTTGGTCATACAATATCTAAACGTGATAATTTTGTACTTATTTATTTTAATATTTCAAATTCAACATTAAAAGAATATCAATTTTATTATTTTAATTTTCGTTCATTTGGTACATTTAATGGTAATGAAAATTTACCACGACAACGTCTTCTTGATACACATAATTCATTACGTATTGTTGGTTTACATGAAGGTAATTATGTATTATGTCTTTCATTTATTAATGCATATGAAAAAATATTTAATCCTCGTTATGCTTGTTATGAATTTACATTTGGTGAAAAAATTCTTGGTTCACATAATGAAAATAAATCAAATTATTTAGCATTATTATTATTTATTATTGCTTTTGTTTTACATATTTTTATTGCTATTATACATTATATTAAATCAAAAAATTATGCACAAAAATTATTACATCGTTTTATTAATGTTACATCAAAACGAGATAAACAAAAAATAAATTTTAATCGTTCATTAAGAGAACTTGATAAAGAACTTGATCATCCACATATATCAGCATCTGTTCAACGTCGTTTATCGCGTGTTACTATTGATGTTAATAATGAAAATGAATTAAATCATCGAGAAAATTCTTTTGATGATAATTCTAATAATGAATTACCATTATATACTTTACCTCATCGTAATCGAAGAATTAGTTTAGTTAATATACAAACAATACCCGAAGATAGAAATACAGATACTATCGATAGTGCATTATCTGTTCAACATTTAATCGATTCAACTCCATGGATAAAACGTACAAATCGAACAGTATCATCATCATCAATAACACGAAAAAATTCATTACGTGTATAGCAAGAATAAATATGAATTTTGATTTGTATAACATGTAGTATAGGATATCTCAAAAATCCATTGGAAAACTTAATGTAAATTTGTCTTATACAATTCAAACGATTTAATTGATTTTTATTATAATACGTAAGTATGTTCTTTAAAGTTTTGTTCTGTATATTTTCAGATAAATTCCTATTAGAACAAAAACTGTATTATAAATGATCAAATTTGAGTCACCTTTAGTTTTGAAACAAAAGTCGAATTCGACAAACACACATCAAGTGAAGATTCCATTAATCTTACATTTGAATGCTTTTGTGAAACTAGTACAATGAAAGATCGAGAACGTTCTGGAAGACCGGCAAAAACTATAGAAGAAAAGCCGAAGAACTTTATGATGTTTGTGAAAAATGGACCACAATCAAGCTGTTACAAAGGCCTGCTCTGTTCCAAGAACAAACAGTGCATCAAATTATGACTGAATATCTTCCATTGAAGCCATAATTTGTTTGTGGAATGGAGCAGATCTTTGCGACGGCTATGACTGCCGTTCATTATGAATTTCGTCAACTTTTTCTTCTATGTTTTTTGACGATATTCCAGAAAGTTCTCGATCTTTTATTGTATTAATTTCACAAAAGCATTGAAATATAATTTATTTGAGGTGTTTTTATCGAATTCAGTTTGCAGTTTTCGTTTCAAAACTATAAATGATTTGAATTAGGTCATTTATAAAACTACTTTTATTCTAATACGCATTTATCTAAAAATATAGAAAAAAAATCTTTCACAAACATATTTACGTTATCTTTTCCATTGGACTTTTGGAATTTATTCATATATATATATATGTTAAATTTTCTGTAATCATGCTTTCTTTTAGATATAGAATGGTTTTTTTTGTTTGTTATTTTTACATTAGAAAATATTTTGAAATAGAGATTTGATAATAAACTGACGGATTAACGGAATAATGTTGTTAAAAAAACAAAGAGACTTTAATAAAGCTCTCTTCCTCAAAAATCAGTTTTAGGCCAAGCGCATTCAAATTGCATGAAATTTTTAGGACATGTTAGGGCTGTAGTGAAGAGCCTATAGTAAAATTTTTAGTCCTATGCCATGAAGTTTTCGAGGGTTAATCTTTTTTTTCTGACTTGAAAGAATGTGTCAGATTGCAGCGTCTAATTTTTAAATTCTTACTTCTTATGTGAAGAAGAAAGATAACAAGTTCAATAATTCTCAAAGAAATGGTCATCGATTTATAGACGTGTTTTTTTTTCTATAATAAAAAAAAAAAAGCTTTGCAGCTTCATATGCTTTTTCTTAAGAAAATTGATTCTTTTTTCTCAAGGAAGAAGAACTAAAGAATTTTAAGATGGTTTAGTTTAATGATGATAAAAGATATGAAATATGTTTATATGTAGGATATTTATCTTTGAATCGCTAAACCAAGTTTATAATAAAGTGTACAAGTTCCTTATCACATTCTAAAATGTATCAATAGGTAATCACAATGTATTTATATGTTTGAAGAAGCCTTGATATCAGACTATCAATATTGATTTCGTGTGTATCACAAATAATTTCGTAATTTCAATATTTTCTCTATAACGAAAAAGCTTCAGAAATGATCGTTCATTTCCTACTAATTACTAATCTGAAGAATTTAATCGTAAGTTAGTAACTAATTGCTTATGCTAAGATTTAAACTTTGTGTAGCATCTATATTTGATGTGGCACAATATGTTGATTTATGTTTACACTCAAAGTTGACTTAAAAATAATACCGATCAATAATATATTAAGTTAGATTACAACATCAGAGATTTCTGAAATTCTATTAACTTTTCTAAGAAAAAATAAATATTAATTCAATTATTTTTCTTTACCAAATACTAGTTTTAACAATACCTTTTATAAATAATTATTATTTTTATTGAATCTTCCAATAAATTAATCAATAAAATCATTTTCTTATTAATCAAATATTATCAATATTCCATATTGATTATTTCTTCAATCTAATTTTCAAATGACTAACTTCTTATAACTGATAGAAATAAGATCGAAACAATATTTTATCTTTCTCACATATACATTTTCATGTTCATTCACGCGTAACAGACACATTGCTTATGTCTATATACTTCCATTTGATATATCATGGCCATCTAAATTGATTCTTTACTATTATAAAACTAATTGCTTTAAACGACAAGGTAGTACGACAGCAAAAAAACGAGAGCAAGGTACTCAAGGTAGTCGTCCGTTTTTTCATTGAATATTAATCAATAATAATAAAAAAAGAAATGAGTAGTAACAATTATAAGAATGAAATTATTGATGATAATGATAACCAACGTTTTCATCGAATACGTACAGAATGGTTTCACAAAACACAACAACCAACTGTACCAAATTTATACGAACAAACAATCACAACAACAACAACAACTATAGATAAAGAATTAAATTCAACAACAGATGAAATGACAACAACACATTTAGAAAAAAGTCCAATAAGACGTGTTAATCTTGTTACAGGACCACAATCAGCATTTGCTCGTCTTTTTCCAGATAAATATAGACAAGAACAAGAAGAACTTGCAAGAAGACAACGTTCAAAATCATCAGATGATCAACGTTATAATTTCGATCGAGTTAAATATCAACAAATACCTTGTAATAATAATGATAATGAAATAATAACAAGAACTCGTCAAGTTTCATTTTTTGATGAATATAATAATGAATTTTCATCTGATCAAAATCTTTTAAATACTCGCACAAAATCTGAATCATATATTAATGAAAATTTAACTCATATGCCACTTAATTATGATCCTGATCCAGAAATAATCTATCGTGATAATCCAGATAAAGTTGTTTATATACAAAAAATAGGTGTTCGATATTTAAAACCTCCAACACCACCACCACCTGAACCAATTATTGTTCGAGAAATACAATCAACACCACCACAAGAACCACCACCACTTGTTGTTTCATCAACACCGTAAGTTTTAAAAAAAAATTTATCCTTTAGATTCTTTATTTAATAGACCAATTATACCGCGTACTCCATCACCATTAATTGTTCGTGAACAACCACCAACTCCACCTCAACATCAACCAGCAAAAATTATTACAAAAACTTTACCACGTCCACCAACACCACCACGTCGTGTTATTATTAAACGTATTCCACCTTTGCCAGCTAAACCTCGGCCAGTCATTATTGAAAAATGGTTACCATATAAAACACCACCGGAACGAGCTGTTATTTATGAACGAGCACAACAATCCGAACAAATTCGTCAAATACCACGAAATGTTATTCTTCAATATGACCAAGCAAAAGTACGTATTGAACAAGAAATTCAAAATGTTGGTTGTTTTCGTGTTGATCCAGAAATTTATCGTGCACAATTTGGTACATCACTTCGACGTACAGATAGTATTCGAAAAGTTTTACAAGATATTGGTTGTAATCCAGATTTAATAACATCAACTAAATATAAAGCATATTGTTCATCAAATCGAGATAATTATTTATTACCATCATCATCATCACCTTATGATTATCAAAAACGAACAACTTGTTTTAGTGATGAACAATTCTCTGAATTAATTGGTTCAACAACAAATATTAATCATCATTATGATATACCATCAACATCTAATAATCAAAATAAAATTTATTATTCAACAGTTTTATCAAATAGTTAAATAATAACTTATTTTGTTTTTGTGACATTGATTTTTCTAATGACTTTTATTATCATGACAGAATTTTTTAAAGTTAGAAGATAGAAATTGTCTTCTTGATTATAATATCAATATGGATATTATTTTTCTTATAAAAAAAACAACAGAGATCTTCAAAATACTAATACACGATTATCATCTACATTAACGTTTGTACACATGTCAGACAAAAAAATTGATAGATACAAATCTTGAAATCAAAGTTTTTTTCATATGAAGGCATATGTGTCAAATCAATCCTTCAAAAGCTCGCTATCTTTATTAATGCGATGCGAAGCACAGCATTTATATAGTCCTTCACGTACGCATTCAGCCATCATACTTTGCATATTTTTCGCTATAACTAAATTTCTACTTTGTGCCGTGATGTTCTAGAGAACGGTCAATTGCTAGAAATTCGTTTGAACTATCTTAGGAGATCAATGTCTTAATAAGATGATCCAAACAATTTTGAATCTTCAATATGGATATTTCCATGGGATCTCAACCATGACGCACAAAAGTGATCTCCGATTTGGATGAAATTTTCAGCGTTTATAGAACTTTTAATTCTAAGCATTTTGATTAAAAATTTTTTTCGAAAAGCTTTTGTTTTAACAGAGATAAGTTCAAAATACTTTAGGCACTAAAAACCCGAAATCTTCGAAAAATGTTTTTTTTTGAAAAAATTTAATAAATAGTTTTTGATAGTTTGTGTCACTAAAACAAGCTCAAAAATGAAATCTAAGATGATATTGTGATTTCTCGTGAGAGGGCGCATCGAACCATACTAAATTTGACTTGGATTTAAAAGACAGCTCAATCTCATGTATGTCCTAACTGCTCATTGACTGTACAAAAAATACAGGATTATCTTGCGTCCTTGATTATTCAAAATGCCTATATTGCTCGATATGGTGGCATAGCCTATTCAATAGAGCGTCGCTTGCTCTATAACTCTCATAGTATAGAATTATTAGTATTGTTGATACGGATAAAATATTGAGTCAACTTTCTTAAGTGTTGCTTTTACCTATATATTCCTTAAGATCGTTCAACTTGGAAATCTGTAGTTGTTGGGTGTGGGTGTGGATATGTGTGAACAGATGGCCAACGTCCACACCCATATCCACACCCACACATCCACCCCACACCCACACCCACACCCACACTCATTTTCGGAAAGACGTCTTCAATAAAGTCAGCCACCACCTTTTCCCACTAATCCGATATTGATGCAACTTTCAGAGAATGTTTCTCTATACCTGGGACATACACTTAGCTAGCACAAAAATACGCGAATGCTTTTGGACTGCGATTCAGATTTTCTAAAAACCTTGATTTTTAAAGTTTTTTTGCAATTTCTTTGTCATAGAAGTACTTTGAAAGAAAAAATAAATACATATTCGGAGTTGACATGAAAAACTGCATCGACTGATGTATCATTTGTCAATTTTTAAAATAAAAAGTTTTTCCACAAAAGTTTAGGATAAGGATTTCTCTTAGACATTTTCCATTGTAAATGGTCTTTTTTTCATAAATCTTGTTTTTGAATGCAAGCAGCTAATATTTCTATGGAAAAAATTCATTTCTGACAGAAAAGAAGTCATATCCACATGCTCGTT